TTATGCAAAAATGAAAATAACACTGACATCTCATTTTAACCGATATATTTACCAAAATTGCACAAAAACATTTTGAAATACTAAAGAGTAAATTTATTCAGTAAAATCACCATTGGCCTTACAGACAACTTTAGAATCTCCTGCAACTTTTCTAGACAGTCTTCTCATTTAATTGGTGAATGCCTACCATCAGTTCATCTTTGGTTTTACAAGGAGTTTTGTTGGTCACTCACTTAACTACACCTCACACATAATCAAGGGGGTTGCATTCTGGGGAGTTAGGTGGGTATATGTAAGTGTAGAACAATCACGCAGTCAAGATAAACATTCAATTGTGGAGCAAGCTGAGTGAATAATAACTCAACCTTAAGAGAGCTATTTATGGTGCCATGGAGCATCTCATTGTGCTAAAGTGGGATAGTCCATTGCTTGGGCTGTGATTGGCTGCTGGTACATGAGTGGAGGTATTTCTGTATAAATACCAGCTTGATTCAACAGTTAGTTTGCAGGGTTTGTATTGAGTTACAACCTGCTTTATTTTTGTCTGCCAGCTGGACGCTAGCTGGGACCCTTATGCCGGTAAGTGCTGTTTATTGTATTATTATTCGATCGAGTCTAGTTTAATGATCACAATAGTTAAAAGCACAAGGCTTTGAGGAATGCAAATCATGTTTTTTTTTTTGTTGGAGTAAGCCCTTTATACTGTAGAGCAAGCACGTAGCCAAGATAAACACTCAGTTGTGGAGCAAGCTGAGTGAATAAACACTCCACCTTGAGAAAGAGAGCTATTTATGGTTCAATGGAGCATCTCATTGTACTCAAGTGGGATAGTACATTGCTTGGGCTGTGATTGGCTGCTGGTACATGAGTGGAGGTATTTCTGTATAAATACCAGCTTGATTCATCAGTTAGTTTGCAGGGTTTGTATTGAGTTACAACCTGCTTTATTTTTGTCTGCCAGCTGGATGCTAGCTGGGACCCTTCTTATTGTTATTCTACAGTAAGGAGTGATGTGGTTGCAGAAATTGTAATGACTGGGTTTTCTTGTTTGTGTGGCATGGTACTGAGTCCTGTTTCCAGACATAGGCTCTTCCAGAAGCCAGCTTCTTAATCCAGGGCAGCACTACCTCCTGAAAATGCTTGATGTAAGTTTCTGTGTTCAGTCTGGTACTCACCAATAAATTTAGATCTGTTCTTATCGATTGATCAGAGTGAGTTTTCCAAGCTTCTCTTCCTTCATAATCACCATTAGACTCATCCAACTCTTTCTGAATACTCTGCACTATCCTCAGATTGATACTCAAACACTCTGAAATATTTGTATTGAAGCTTCCAGCACAAATGCGAAGCAGTACAGCATGCTGTTTCTAAATTTCTGGTAGAGTGAATTGCATCATGGTGGTCTTTTTCTTACAAATGGTGCCCAACTGACCCTACTATACTGTGAAGTCAACAAAATCAAAATCAAACAACATGCATGTACAAAATTAGAAATATAAAATGACAACAATTTACCTATCACACCCTGTATAAGGGATGTTTGCTCTAACTTCCCTGTGCTTTTTTCTATATGCATAGGCTATTTTGCCTGTCTGGGTAAAAGAGACACCCAGACTATTTTGCTAGTCAATATAAATAGTGTTTTAGATCTAAGAATAAATTATATTTGAGATCATCAGTGCAGTGGTTGTGTGAGCTGTGTATGCAGGATTTGAACAACATGGATTTTGTGGTCTGTCACTGTTGTCTTCAGTGTGTGCACTTGAAGTGTATTGGCAAGAGAACCATGCCCTTGGGTGATTTTTGGATTTGCAGAGACTATTATGCCTAAAAATGTTTAAAATATTCAGACTTCTATATTTCTTTTAATAATTGGTGAGAAACAAATGATTTTAACTTGTGTTTTAATAATTGAGAGTGGAAAAGATTTTAAATTGTCTTAACAATTGATGGTGAAAATAAATAGACTTCAGTGTTAAATCTGTGTGTTGTTATTTTTAACGTTACCTGCCTTCATAATAATAAAAATATTTACTGGTGGGTCAATTTTTTGGGACCAGCAAAATAATTTCTTCCTCTTCTAAAGAGTGTTCCAGTAACTCAAACTGATTTTAAATGTGAATTAAGTTTAAGCGGCTAATGATTTTTTCTTTTTCTTTCAGATTTGGCAGACATTTGGGCAATATTATTTTTCACACATAATTGCCATGACTTAAATAACATGATCCAATAGAGAAATAAATAAATTTTCACTGATAATGCTTATTTATTTACTGCTGACTTTGATCCATCTTAATGAAACACCCTTATATATAATCCGTCTTAATGAAACATCCTTTATAAATATTTTCATCATAACTATTCTGATGACTTTCCTTTTTAGTAACTCAAATTTACAAGTTTAAGCACAGTACTAGATTGGCAGCTAGGTCTCCTTATTTTACATTTAAAATTGCAAGATGTAAACATAATTTCTATATTAACAGTTTCTCCTGCAATTCCTGCTTGTGGAATATTTTCCAGTTTCTTTCTGTCTAATCAAATTTGATCATTAAAAAATTAATTGCAGTGTCAGTTGTCTTCTTTTGACTCCTTAAATCCTGTTCATTTGTTGACCTCTCTCCTTAATATGCTTTTTTTGATAAATATTTTCATTATTATGTTATTTTTAATACTTTTAATATTTATGTTTTAAAGTAGTTGAATAGAAACATTGAAATAAAGTAAGTTCATATTTGTGTGTGTATTTTTAAAAAATCTATGGTGTTATTTCATAACCTTTAAATGTATACACTTTCAAAATTTTGCTAAGTGTGCCATGATATTTCCATTTGCTCCTAGGTCAGCCATTGCTTAAAAACATTGAGAAACACTGAACTAAATAAATATGAAACAATTGAGAGACTATTAAAACTAGGACTGGATGACTGTGATGGTTCTGACACGTTTTCCTCTTAGGTACCTCGACTTTACAAATCTTAGCACAGTACTAGATTGGCAGCTAGGTCTCATTATTTCACAGCTGAAATGGATAGATGTAACCATAGGTTGTATGCTAGGGATTTCTTCTGGTTTCATTCTCTCCAGTTAAATTTGATTTTCAAAAAATTATAAGCTCTATCAATTGTCATCTTCTGTCTCCTTGAATCCTGCTCATTTATTGAACTCATTTCTTAATATGTTTTTCTCTTATTATTTAAGCAATGTACTAGATTGGCAGTTAGGTCTCATCATTTTACAATTGAAATGGCTAGATATAAAGTTTTATGCTAGCAGTTTCTTTTCTTGCACTTCTTGCTTATGAAATTCACTTCCAAATTCTTGCTTTCAAGTTAAATTTGATCTTCAAAAACTTAAAAGCAATGTCAATTGTTATCTAATTCTTTATTCCTCTTCTTTTATTGTTCTTTCTCCTTAATAATGTTTTTCTTTTCTTTATATTTAAAGATCCTTGATAAAATCCAAAGAAGAATCTGCAATGTCATTGGTCTTAACCTGGCATCCTGGCTTGAGTCACTTTCCCACAGCTCCCCTGTGCCTTTCGTATAAATACTTTCATGGTAATTGTTCAGATGAACTTTTTTCTATAGCAGTGCTTCTCAAACTATCTGATATGGCAGACCAGCATTTTTTTTTCTTCTCAATGTGTCATGTACCTGTAATATTTCATGGTAATATTAATTTATACCGGAAATGATATATATAATAAATATAATAAAAGTTGACTTTTTTTATCTTCCATTTATTTTGAAAAAAATAATTCAATATCAAAATATATAAAAATTAATAAAAAATAAGCTTCAAATAATTCCTTAGCATGGCCTGGACACTGGCGGCATATCAGTAGCTGATACTTTGTGTAATGGCACCAGCCCGTGGACCACCACTTTGAATAGCACTGTTCTATGGCACCTAGACTTTATGAATTAAAGCAAAGCACTAGATTGGCAGCTAGGTCTCATCATTTTACAGTTGAAATGGCTCAGTGTAAACATAGGTTGTATCCTAGGGGTTTCTTCTGGCTTCATTCTTTCCAGTCAAATTTGATCTTCAAAAATTATATGCAGTCTCAATTGTCATCTTCTGTCTCCTTGAATCCTGTTTATTTATTGAACTCTCTTCTTAATGTTTTTCTCTTATTTCTTAAGCAAAGTACTAGATTGGCAGTTAGGTCTCATCATTTTACAGTTGAAATGGCTAGATATAAAGTTTTATGCTAGCAGTTTCTTTTCTTGCACTTCTTGCTTGTGAAATTCACTTCCAGATTCTCGGTTTCAAGTTAAATTTGATCTTCAAAAATTATATGCCGTATCAATTGTCATCTTCTGTCTCCTTGAATCCTGTTCATTTATTGACCTCCCTCCTTAATATGTTTTTCTCTTATTATTTTACTCCCATTAACCTCTTGTGTGTTAGTGGCTTCATCAACTTGCATGGGGTGAAATGATTAAAAAAAAACAAAAGCTTCCTTGGACGTCATTATGTGATCATGGGCAAATATAGAAAGATGATATCTGAGTGTCCTATGTTAGTTATGCTAATAACTCGTCACAAAGTTACAAACAATATTACTTTATCATCATGGCATATTGTTAAAGATCAATTTGTGCTTAAATTGGTTTGAAATTATTTAATTTCTTGGTCAGGTGTCAAGTAATCAGCACTTCTCATTGAGATTCAAGAAACGTGCCCAAAGAAAGGTTCCAAAAACTCTTTCTTCAATTAACAATCAAATCAAGGTTAACAAGGGTAACTCAATGGGTGCCAAGATCAAAACCAGTAACTATTAATAAATTGGTTTCACTACCTGTTACCACCATTACCACTACAACCAGCCAATGTGGGTAATTCCAAGACTCACCTAGAAATTGGGGAATGTTTATCCAGTTAAAGGAACTTTTATCTGACATCTTCAAATTGTATATTTTACACAAAGTATCACTTCATTTTCTTTTCAGATATTATGAATGCTTATTTATTTAGATAAGAAGTTTGGGCATATGGCCAAATCACATTGGAACATTGGCTTTCATATGATCACCAAAGTTAAGCAATGTCATACCTGGTCAGTACTAAGATGGGTGACCATTTGGGAATACCAGGTGCCTTACTCTTTGATGGGCAGGTAGTATAATAAATAATGGCTTGGAATTGTTAATCACCCAACCAAGTTCCAATTCTTGTTCAGTTCATTATATTCACTTACGAGAAAATAAACTTGGGAAAGTTAAGAATCCACATATTCTCTCCCCAGCTATGGGTTAATTAGTAACACTTATATCACTAAATCATTATTATCTTAAAAAGAAATTCTTACACTCTAAAAATATTTTCTGGCTTTAAACAACCTGCAGAAGGTTGGTAAGCTGTAAAAAATGAATGAATCAATCAATCACCATAATTTATCAAGAAAATATGAGGTGGTAAAATGCTGTGAACAATCTAACGGTAAAAATAACATTCATAGAAAAAACATCCAGTGCTACTCTAGCTATATTTTTCTTCATTAACTGGTCATTGGGCTGGGATTAAAGTGTAGTATCTGTTCTTGTATCTAATGGTAAGATTAGTTGTTTCCTTATAAGGAAACATTCAGCATTCATTGACAAAGCAGCCAGTGCTACTCAAGTTACACTTTTCTTTATTCTCTGGCTATCAGGCTGAGATCAAAGTGTAGTATCTGTTCTCCTCCTCTCTGATGATAATGGTAATATTTCTTTATAAGGAAACATTCAGCATTCATTGACTAAGCAGCCAGTGCTACTTAAGTTACACTTTTCTTTATTTTCTGGTTATCAGAGATCAAAATGTAGTATCTGTTCTCTTCATCTCTAATGATAATGGTAATATTAGCTGTTTCCTTATAAGGAAACATTCAGCATTTATTGATTAAGCAGCCAGTGCTACTCAAATTACACTTTTTCTTTATTTTCTATCAGGCTGAGATCAAAGTGTAGTATCTGTTCTCATCTCTAATGGTAATGGTAATATTAGCTGTTTCTTTATAAGGAAACTTTTAGCATTTTTGAAAAGCCAGTGAGTGCTATTCAAGTTACACTTTTCTTTACCCACTGGCCAAATATCTGGAACATCTATTCTCCTCATCTCTAAGAAAATCTCAAATGGAGCAATAAAATCAATTCAAGTGATAAAAAAACAAGTTATGTTGGTTAGTTAAACAAATGCAATATTGACCATCATTAGGTTATTTAATGTCAAACATGACAAAAACTATAAAAAATTAATAGACAAGTAGACACAGGCCCAGTTTAAACCTGAGTCAAAAGGTAGATTTATATGTTAGTTAAAAGGGAGGCCTAAGTTCACAAGTAACCAAAAGGGAGATGGTTATTTTTGATGTGGGTTGAGTCTTATACCACAGCAGGTGATGCATTAAGCTTTCAACTATGATAACAGATCATAAAAGGTCAACTGCTGTGTTAAAAACATAAAAAAAATTAGCAATTACACTATGAAAGCCTATGGCCAACTGCAGTGGTAAAAGCACATGAAAGGTCAACTGCAGTGGTAAAAGCAAATGAAAGCTCAAATGCAATGGTAGAAGACCATAGAAGCATAGCTGCAGTAGTAAAAGACCATGAAAGGATCATTACAGTAGTAAAAACCCATGAAAGGTCAATTGCAATGGTAAAAGAACATGAAGAGTCAACTGAAATGGTAATAGGCCATGAAAGGTCAACTGCAGTGGTAAAAGCACATGAAAGGTCAACTGCAATAGTAAAAGGCCATGAAAGGTCAACTGCAGTGGAAAAGTCAAATGCTGCATTAAAAGCCCATGGGAAGTGGTACAAAATCATGAGAGGTCAAGTGCAGTGGTACAAAATCATGAGAGGTCAAGTGCAGTGATAAAAAACATTCTAAATTTCATTTTATGACATATCAACTTTTATTGTGTTATTTAATATCAAATCCCTTTTTTATTTATTGTTCTCTTTATTTTCTTAAAATCCAAAACTAAATATTTAAATCTTCAAGAACAAAGGTCATAAAAAATTAATAGTTCCAATGTTACCAATTTTATATTAATTACCATCAAGATTTCCATAAATTTTGCAATGTTTTATATAATTAAAAAGAAAAGAATATTTTTTAATTTAAAATCAATTTAAATATGAAAATCAAAAAACATTTATATAATTTTAAGTATTAGCTTCAACAGTTAAGAATAGGATCTTTAAAACAGTTATTTGTTAACAAGGAGAAGATAACTCTTGCTAGAACAATAAATCCATTGCGAACTTTCCTTTAACTGTATCAGCTGTCAAAACAAGAGAGAGGGACAGTCAGATAGTATTTAAAATTGACTATTAAGTAAAGTAATTTAAACTTGTGAAGAATGATTTGAAAGGGAAATTAGTTCTTTTGACAAGTGCTTCCATTAAATGATTTTTATGGGTGTTATTTATTGGAAATTTTTGATTTGGTTCAATCTTTAGCTGAGAGGAGTGTCTTTGGCTTCCATTTTTTTTTTAAATATATTAAAACAATTTGATTTTTCTCGTAGAATTTTGGAGTTTTTGGCTTCTTTTAGTTGTGTAAGTTTGCATTGAAAAGGCTTGCTGGCATGGTTTATTTTCAGATAACTTGGTTCTTGCCATTTTGAAGATTTCTCTTTTGTGATCATTGTTAAGGAAGATCAACTATAGACAGGATTGATCAGATTAGAGACCTTTATGCTCTCTGGTTACAGGAATTTGGTTTGGTTGCTATTTTGGGGGCTCCCAAGAAGGGGTTCTTTATTGAGATACTTTTTTCTTGTTTTTAATTATTTTGTTTTGTTTTGGTGGTATGGTTAGTGATTTTGAATTTTTTATGGGTTTTGAAGTTTTTATAGGGATTAAGAGTGAATGTAGTTTTTATTGGAATTAACAGTGAATGTAGTTTCAGTTTTTCTTCAGGATGTTTTGGCAAGTCATCCAGTCTTTGTTTTAATAGTCTCTCAATGATTTTTTTGTATTTATTTAGTTCAGTGTTTCTCATTGTTTTTAAGCAACACTAGGAACAAATGAAAATATCACAGCACACTTAGCAAAATTTTTAACGTGTATACATTTAAAGCTTAAGAAATAATAAATACTTCAAAAATATACACACAAGTATGAACTTACTTTATTTCAATTTTTCTATTCAACTATTTTAAAAAATAAAAGTTAAAAGTATTTAAAATAACATAAGAATGGTAAAACGAATTATTTGAAAAAAGTTTAATACTTATTCAAATAACTTTTTTTATTAACAAAAATGAACCCCTTGTCAGAATGACTAGATCTCTCTGTATCCTTGGAAACAGTGAATTATAAATTTTCTGTGCCTTTAAAACTCAGTAAATTTAAAAAATAAGTTACTCCAAAATTTGCTTGAGGATGAAATGGAACTAATGTTTTTAATTTAATTTGAAGCTTTTACATTCCATTTTTGAAACATGGTTATTATTGTGTAGCAAAAAAAGATATTTTAAATCAGTTAATTTATAATATTGATGCTCTGTAAATTTACATTGAGCACTATTTTGTAAAAATAACAATATCAATAAGAACGCCGGATTATCTTACTGTTCTTTCCTTTTATTTATATATACATATACATACATACATACATATATATATATACATGAATTATTCACACAAAAACTAATGCAAAGGTTAATGATTTAAATGGCGAGACATCCATCATCGCAAACAATTCAAATAATATACAAAACCTCCGTATCCGTTATGAATGAAATGATCCTTGTTTATATAAATTTCTGAGGTTTTTGTATATTATTTGAATTTGCACCAAAATTTACATGGACATGCTCCAAGTTAGCGGGAAGGACAAGACTGACTTTGCATTTCACAACTCCCATCAATAGTGGAAATAATCGATTTTTTCACGCTTCTATGGCAGTTTTCATGTAGTTTGTGGCCATTTTCTACTGGCCAGAGTGAGAGCTGATAGCTGGCTGCCACGAATAGGCAGGAAGATTCTCTTGGCCAGCATGAGAGCCAACAGCTGACTGACACGAATGCAAAAAAATCCATAGCTGCATTCGTCACAAGTGGGAAAAATTTAAATCTGCATGGCACTTTACTCCAATTCGCTTGCTTAAACTCAACGTTGTTTCTGATTCTGCAGAACTGGGTTGGGTGTGAAAAAGTATTTGTTGTTAACATTCTTTTTTCATTCGGTTTTTCCAGTTATGAGTCCTTTTTTAGAGCTGATCGTTTTGTGTTGATTTTGTTTAGTTCTTTTTCCGTAACAGATTTAATGTTTAGTATAGAGCTTAGAAAAAATTTGCAGTGTGAGATAGGCAAGAAGTAAGGCATGTAGCAACATCAGCACGGCAAAGGGCACTCCTTTAAAGGCAAGGAAGGGCAAAAATATTTTAAGTCAAGTGATAGCGATTGCTGTATGAGTCATAAGATTTTTGAATCAAGCACGGCAACGCTGGGCCATGCTGCTAGTATATATATATATATATATATATATATATATATATATATATATATATATATATATATATATATAAGTGAACATTGAAGTCAACAGGTGACAGGCTGTTTCATACTGGATGCATGTCTGTCTCCTCTGAGTGTTGACTTCAATGTTCACTTTTATATTTATATTTACATACACTCTACCTCTGATATTGAGCACTTTTATCCCATAAATATAGCACACCATAAAACTATATTTCTTCATATATATATATATATATATATGTGTGTGTGTGTGTATGTATGTATGTATGTGTGTGTGTTTGCGTGATTATATAAGTGAGGACTCAGGGATCACTACTGGATGGTGAGAGTCTGTTTCATGCTTAAATACAGCTTTCAGGATGGCCTGATTACTGTTTTTAAGCATGAAACTGATTGTCACCATCATATGTTGACACCTAAGTCCACATTGCATTATAGATAGGGATGTGTGTAAAAAAAATTAAATAATAAATTTTAGGTAAATTCCTGGTATAGTGAAAGGTTCTAACTATAACTTCTTGGATATTAGATTGATTTGATTTTTCATATTTATTTCATAAATATAACAATGATATAAATATAATGAAAATCTTTAAATAAAGGTTTAGACAAGGTAGTAAAG